ACCTCCCGCCGCCCCGCCCCGCCCCGCCCGCCCCCCCCAACGCCCCGTCCCACCCTAGGCCTGCTGCCAGCCTGGTCCCCTCCTCTAGGGCGGGCGCTCCCCTGCTCATTGGGGCAGAGAACCTGCTGGAAGTGCGCGTGGCCGCGGCCAACGAGGGCGAGGGGGCCTACGAGGCGGAGCTGGCAGTGCAGCTGCCCCCAGGCGCCCACTACGTGCGGGCGCTGAGCGACGTGCCGGTGAGGGCCAGCTCTCTGGAGATGTCCACAGCTCCCAAACGATAGCTGGATCACCTTACAGATGTTACCGAGGAGGTGGCAGGCACTCACGTGGCTGTAGTATCGGTTCCTGGTTTTCGGTTGTATTTTACAACAGTGGGTCACACTGAGGGGGGACAACTATTCTTTTGTATGTTTTTCTTTCCAAAATGAAAAGTGCCGGGTGTGGTGGCGTAGGCTTAGTCTCAGCTGCACTTGGGAAGCTGAAGCAGGAGGACCATTTGAGCCCAGGAGTACAAGGCACATAGGAGACCCAATCTAGTAAATAACAGTACAGGCAGCAGATGCACAGCCCCTGAGATCCTGCCCTGGGAAGCGTCAGACGTGCCTGGCGCCCGGGACCTAATGCCTTTGCTGATCCTGAAGGGCCTGGAGAGGCTGATCTGCAACCAGAAGAAGGAGAACGAGAGCAGGGTGGTGCTGTGTGAGCTGGGCAATCCCATGGGGAAGGACACCCGGGTGAGAGCTTGGAGTGGGGGAGTGGGGGTGGCCATGTGCAGCCCCAGGGAGGCCTGGGATAGAGTGGGACAGCCCTAGGCTAGACCTTGCTCCACCCACTAGCCAGCTACATGTTCCTAGGTGCGTGACATCTCCCAGTGAGTAAAATGGAAATAAACCAGGGGTAGCTGGGCACAATGGCACACACCTGTCATCCCAGCAGTCTGGGAGGCTGAGGCAGGAGGGTCACAGTTAGAACTCAGCCTGGGCAATTCAGTGACTTAGTGAAACTGTTTTAAATTTTAAAAAGGAGGCCAGAGATGTGGCTCAGGTCAGAGGCCCTGGTTCAATCCTTGGTTCCACAAGGGAGAGAGGTAGAAAGGGGATGGGGGCAGGAGGGTCACAATCAAATTAGAACTGCAGGGAGGGCACTGAAGGCAACACTGGGCACGGGCAGTGACTCTGTTCCTCCCGTCTCCAGATAGGGATCACGATGTGGGTGAGCGTGGGGGACCTGGAGCAGGCCGGCCAGGTCATGTCCTTCCAGCTGCAGGTCCGGAGGTACTTCCCTGGGATGCTCTGCTCTCTGGCCTCCCTGTCCCTACTTCCCCAGAGCCTGGGAGCCTTCCCCGCCTGGTCCCTGCACCCTGCTTCTGAAATGGCTCCCCGAATCCCTGCTCTGCCTGTGTGGCTGAGCCCCAGTCCCCTCCTTTCCTCCTACCCTCCTCTCCCTCCCTCCTCCCAGCAAGAACAGCCAGAACCCAAACAGCCAGGCTGTGTTGCTGCAGGTGCCAGTGCGTGCAGAAGCCAGGGTGGAGCTTCGGGGGTGAGTGAGGGCTGGGGGCTGAGAGGGGTCAGCGTGGCTCTGGAGTCTGGGGAGGCCCAGGTGCAGCTCCACAGAAGGTTGCCGCTCAGCACCCACAGGAAGTGGGGTGGTAGGCTATTCCTGGCCTCAGCTCCAGCCCCTCAGGTGTGGGTCCCTCCAGGAGCTCCTTTCCGGCCTCCCTGGTGGTGTCAGCTGAAGGTGACAAGGAACAGAGTGGCTTGGACAGCTCAGCCCCCAGAGTGGAGCACACCTATGAGGTAGGGAGCCCCCTTCGACCCAGACAGTGAGGGCTCCTGGGGCCCAGGGGCCTGGGTGCTGAGCTACGTGCCACCTTGGATCACTACCTCCCAGCTCCACAACAAAGGCCCTGGAACGGTGCATGGCCTGCGACTCGACGTGCACCTGCCCGGGCAGTCTCAGGCCTCTGATCTGCTCTATATCCTGGACGTGCAACCCCAGAGGGGCCTACAGTGTTTCCCAGAGCCCTCGCCCAACCCCCTCAAGGTGAGCGCAGTGACAGGGGCTGAGAGGGGACATACTCAGACAGGACTGACCTGTCCGCTGCTCGCGCCCGCAGCTCAACGGGAGGCCACCCTCGGCTAGCACAGCTCAATTCCAGTCCCATCACCAGCGGGAGCGCAGGCAGGCCGGGCCGGGGCAGTCTGTGCTGGTGGTGAGAACAGCTTGGGCAGGCCTCCCGGGTTGCGGGGGTGGCGGACCTGGTCCCCAGGCGTGCACATTCAGGCGTGGCTGGAGCACGGGCCAGGGTGTTCGCAGGCTCATTCCGCTTCTCTGCGGCTGCATATGAGGCCGTCTGGTCCTCTGACTGGGTCCCCAGCCTGAGAGATGATGGGCAAGAAAGGCTGGTGACTGATGATCGTCTCTTCAGAGCTGCGACTCAGCGCCCTGCACGGTGGTGCAGTGTGAGCTGCAGGAGATGGTGCGCGGGCAGCGGGCCATGGTCACTGTGCTGGTCATGCTGAGGCTGCAAGGCCTCCGCCAGGTGGGGCTGGGAGGAGGCGGAGCCTGGAGTGGGTGTGGCCTGTCCTTGGGGGTGTGGCTTATGGACCTGGAGGGGCGGGACTCCGGGCGGCGAAAAGGTGGGGCTTCCGGACGTGGGGCTGGGCTTTGGGGGTGATGCGCACGGCTTCCGGGGCGGGCCCTTTCTGGTGGGCGTGGCTCCAGACCTGGGGACTCCCGGGAGTGACCCGGTCTGCCCAGCAGGGCCCGCTAGAGCAGACCGTGCTGCAGTCGCGCGCTTGGTTCAACGTCTCCTCGCTCCCGTATGCGGTTCCGGCACTCAGCCTCGCGAGCGGAGAGGCCGTGGTGAGGACCGGGCGGCCAGGAACGGGCCTGCGCGAGGGGGGACCTCGAGTCTCCGAGGCGGGCTCCTGACTGAGGTTCCGCGCCACCCCAGGTGCAGACGCAGCTGCTGCGCGCCCTGGAGGAGCGTGCTGTGCCCTTCTGGTGGGTGCTGGTGGGCGCGCTGGGCGGCCTGCTGCTGCTCACGCTGCTGGTGCTGGCCATGTGGAAGGTGAGGCCGAGGCGGGCGGGTCCTGCCTCGCCCTGGGGTCCTCGGGCCACCCGTCCCTGCCTGCCGGGGGGCAGCGGGCCCAATTTGCCGCGGCCGCGTGCGTCCTTAGACGTGTCAAGAACAAACGTCAAGGCTTAAGGAGCGGGCAGGGAAAAGGTTCTGCCCAGCCCCTTGTCACAACAGTCGCCCTGGGCCGGGACACGCCACGCGGCCTCAGTCCCCATCTGGAACCCACTAAGGCTCGGGTCCGGGCTCGTCCCGATCCTGACCCTGGCCCTGTGCAACAGGTGGGCTTCTTCAAACGGACCCGGCCCCGCCTGGACGAAGGCGAAGAAGAGGAGTGAAGAGTTCCTCTCTGCTCCCTCACCGAGCCGTCCTTGTCCCCTCTCCTGCTACCTAATAAAGAGGCGCCCGACACCCGGGGTGTGTTTCTTTTTGGGGTCAGATGGGGAGAGGAAGTGGGGGTCAGGGAAGTTTGAGCAGAGGTCACTGCGAAGGTGTAAATTACTGTCCTGGATACACTAACAGCTAGACACTGTCCAGATACCTGGGGGTGGCACTGGGAGAACAGGTGACTGGACGTCATAAGCCTGGTGTGACAGCACAAGCCTGCAATCCCAGTACTCAGGAGACTGAGGCAGGAAGTTGTGAGTTGGAGGCCAGCCTGAGCTAGTGTGAGGCTTCCAACTCCAACACTCATGGTTGTGAGGGATGGATTTCTCAGCGGTCTGAGCTCGGATTGGAGGAGTGTGGCCTTCCCTCCCTGTCTGTGCCTCCCCAAAGGCCTTTACAGGCTGTGTTGGTGAGGACAAGAGTCGAGTGGGCAGCAAGTGATCCGCCCCCTCTCTCCTGCTGTTTCTCCCCACACACACCCCCAAGGGATCTTCTGTTAGAATGGGGGCAAAAAGTGGCCAAGAGCTCCGCAGCTGAGATTACTGGATTTGGAGACCCGGGGAATCCCCAAGTCCTGAGGGCTTTGTTGATTTCCTGTGTTTCATCATTTTTTCCCACTACTGGAGACTGAACCCAGAGCCTTCCCACAGAGCTACACTTCCAGCTCCCTCTTTATTTTTTTATTTTTGTCTTTTGGAAACAGGATCTTGATATGCAGTTCAGGCTGCCTTGAACCCACTTTGTAGTCCAGGCAGGTCGCGAGCTCACATTGGTTCTCCTGCCTCAGCCTCGTAAGTAATGGGATCACAGGCGTGTGCCGCCACATCCAGCTCCTCCCCCTTTAGTTTTGAGACAGTGCCTCCCTAAATCACTAAGTTGCTCTGTGCTCCAACTTGATATGATCCTGCTGGCTCAGCCTCCCGAGTGCACAAGGTACCATGTTCCTGGTGCCTGGACCCATCCCAGTACCCAGATGCAAGGGTGAGTAGTGCTAGGACCCTCCCCTCGTGAAATCTTCAAGGACAGAGAAAACAAACCACGACATCAAAGCTTGGTTGTGTGCTGAGTGAAAATACAGGGAAGGAGATGGTGGTGACAGGTGGTAACACAGGTTGGAGTCCATGAGAGGAGAGAGCAGCCAGAGAAATGGCCTGGGCTGTGTGGAAGACAGGGCAGGGCCAAGCGGGGAGCCTGCTCACCTGGGTGGTCTCTGGGCTCCGTGCTGGGGCCAGGGCACCACACGACGGTGTGGCCAGTGGGACACTGGACTCCAGCCCGAGGGGCAAGTGGACAACTCTGCAAGTGCTGTTGCCATCTATGCACAGCAAGTTCCAGACACGTTTGGAGCTGGGTGACGGAAGCCGCAGCACCACGCCTCAGCCAGAGTTCTGTCTGCCGGCCCGGAAACGCTGGTTCCAGGAGGCATCAGCCTTTACAGGTAGCACAGGGGGCATAGCCGAAGGAGAGCGCTGCCGGGCCCGGGGTGCAGGCGGGCCTGGCGCCGAGGCCCAGTCAGCCTCTTCCCCTGCAGATGGCTGGAGGAACAGTGCCAACAGCACTGGTGGCTGAGCCGACCAGGCAGCCCGACAGATTGGAAAGTTGGTCTGAAACCAACAAAATGAAATTCACCAAAGATAAGTGTTAAATCCTGTGCAAGCGTTCTCCAAGTTGTTACATAAGAATAGCCCCGGCAAGTCTGGCTCCTTGGAAATTTCTGTTAAATAGAAAGAATCTAGGCATGCTGGCACATGTGTTTAGAACCTGTATACAGGAGGCTGAGGCAGGGACATCTGCAGGTTGTAGGCAACCCAGGCTACGTGGTGAGCTCGAGGCCAGCCTGGGCTACACAGTGAGACCCTGTCTCAAATAGTAAATAAAAATTAAAAACCCAGCCGTGGTGGTTCACGCCTGTAATCCCAGCACTGAGGAGGCTAAGGTAGGAGGAACATTGCAAGTTCCAGACCAGTCCAGGCTACATAGTGAGTTCAAGGTCAGCCTGAACTGCATAGCAAGATCCTGCCTCAAAAAGACAAAAATTAAAAAATAAAGGAGCATCTGGTGGTTTGAGCTGACGTCCATTATGAGGTATCCTTGAACCAGGGGTCTTCAAGCCAAGGGCCTATCCAAGCGAGCCGCAGGGTGAGGCCCAGCCAAGTGTCCTCTTGCTCCTCGGCACCACACTGCAGCAGAGAAAGTAAAAGGCTCGAAGGGCCAGGAGTGCGCTGCAGTGCCATTTGAGGAGGCTGTAACCGGCGCCTGGCCCAGGGCGCCGCGACCTGGAAGATGGAGTCGAGGCCTCCACTGCAAGCCTCGAACCAAGGAAGGATAGAGACCCCCACGGACACTGAAGCTGGAGGCCGGGGACCCACGAGGGGAAGAGGGAGGCACTGAAGCGCTGCCCAGTGGAGCAGCAGGACAGACTCCGCAGGAGTCGGGGGTCGCCCGGCCGGCACCTGGCGGGGCGGGGGCGGGGCGTCGTCGGGGGCGGGGCGTCGTCTCCAGGGGCGGGGCGT